CCCCCCCCCCCCCCCCCCCCCCGCCATAAACAATGACCACTCCCCAAATCTAAACGAAAATCTGTTGTGTCTTTGCAGGCAACATCTATAATCTCAAAAATCTCGATTCGAAAAAAGATGCACGGTTAAGCTTCTATCAAATAAAAGAATAGTATATACGCGATAAATATTATTAGATTCCTTGTGTTTGGGGGTATTGTACTGTACATTGAAATTTCTGGAAATATTTTACCTAAGTTATAATATTTTGGTACTTTATTATATATATATTTTATATTTTGTTAAAATATGATTTGCATCTTGCATTTGACATTGAATCGCAATTTCTATAGGTAATAATATGGTTTCGAGCGCAATTTGGAAAAAAAAAGACATCCAAGAGTGAGTTTTTCAAAGACGAGCAATGTGAAGTCTTTGAAAAACTCCCGCACGGGAAATTGGTACCACTTTCTGAAAAAAGGTATCAATTTCCCGCGCGTAATACAAAATGACTGAAAAACGGCAAATTTCGCAAGGCTATATTATCCGCATTTTACAACATTTCGCAACGAAACTTCGGAATATTACTAATTTTGTGATGCTCTTTCAAGCTGTGGGGAAATGTTTGTCTAGACTTGTCTGGATCAAAATTTTGTTCATTAGGGAATATGTCCATTGCACAAGAAACCATACTATTACTTATTAATAATATACATGAAATAATTATGCAGTCACATGGGAAATAGATTTTAATATAAACAATTCTAATAGAAAGTTTACTAAAGACACCAGCCATTTTTGTCACGTGTAAATGTTTGGGGGTTTTTGTATTATTTTCTGCTAGAAATGGCTGTGTCTCATAGTCAATGAAATTTGCACCGTATTTCATTTTTTGGCACTGTATTTCGAGAAAATTGCACTCTCTTAGCCAACCAGAATTGAACATTTTTTCATGTATATTATTATAGTATAAACAAAGTTTGCATCGTCGGAACGTCTTGTCTTGCTGTCTACTTTGCAGTTCGAGGATAAATTTTGAAGAAGAAAAACGGTGAAAATCGTGGACTTGTAAAAACAACATAATTTAGCGTAATCATAATTCGCTCTTAATAAACATTTTTGCATGCTTTGAGCGTGACTGTTCTGCTATTAATATCTCGTTAAATTACAAGCAAGTCAATTATATAATGAAAAATTAACTCGCTCTGGTAACCGTGTTTCTTTTTGGAGTTGACCAAGCAAGCGCTAAATGTACCACGTGACTAAAAACCAGCCACTGTCGATAACCTATAAATGGTCGAAATAATCGTCATACTATATACGCATTTTACCCTAAATATCCGCGTTTCATCTCATCCGTCCGTCCGCATCCGCGTTTTACCTTAACCAGGTTTCTAGCCTCGGGCAATCCAACCTGCGAACGGGCAATTTTGAATACGAGATTGGAGCCTCGGGCAAATTGCATCCAGAGTCTTTTCCCCGGGGCATGGTTTTTGACTCGGATACCACGTGCAACTCTTGAACAAGTTTGAGCGGGAAAGTGGACTTTAAATATTTGGCTTTAAATATTGGTCTTTAAATACATGGATTTGAAATGTTGGACTTAAATATTGGACTTTAAGTATTGGAATATGAATTTGTACCTCAAAGACTCAAACATGGTCGTTAAACAGGAATTAAATGATGAATTTGGAGGGTTATTGGAAAGCAAGGACATGGTAAATACAAAATATTCCTTCCTGTTATACTAACGAAATTGATCAAAACTTGTGTTTTAAAATGAAAAGTTAGTAAATATTTATCAAAACATTGTTTTCTAGTATATCGCAGAAGTGAAAGCCTCGCCTGCGAACGGGCTATCAAGCTGAAATATTAAAAAGTAGCCATACAAGGTTGGTATAGTATATTATTTATAATAGACTCTTTCAATAATTACATCGCATATCTTGGCACCATTCATCTTGAAACATGAGAACAAGGCTCCCAAGATGAGATATGTGATGTAATCATCGAAAAGGTGTAATTTTTATATATCAACTAGGGGGGGGGGGGGACATTGGGATTTACGGTATGGCGGTATTAGCTTATTTTTCTTATGGTATTTTCCTTGAAAAATTGCAGTATTACGATATTGGAAATCTTGCGGTACACAGTATTTGCAATTTTGGACTCGAAAACTGCGGTAATTGACAAAATTTGCTTGCAGTATTACGGTATTGAATACCCCTCAATGCCCCCCTCCTATAGGACCTTCTCATAGGAATGAAACTTGTGTCCCTGCCCGAATACCGGTGCAGTGCTCTAACCAACTGAGCTACAGGGGTCAGTTGTCAAGCTCAAATGTAACAAAATCGAAGAAAACTCAAAAAGAACTTGAAAAATTGAGACTAATTATTTTTATAATTGTAAAACCTTTATTCTTTTTAATTTAGAGCCCTATTGTAATAATATTGTAATAAAATTTAATAAACTTTACAGAATTAACAGTCGCCTGCCTAAAAAGTGTGCGAGCGAGTCTGTCCACCATAACCAAAAAATTTGAAAAATCTTGAAATAAGGGCTTTTATAAATAATAAGTTATCACGTTCAAGGTCGTTCGCCCGCAGCAAGTCTGCGGTTTATATCTTCGATTACGGGAGGGAGTTCAGCAATGCTGTCGATGACGTAATGTGCGCCCGCGTTCGCCAGGGTTTCGTAGGATTTTGCAATCTTGAGTTCGTATTCTTCCTCGCTCAGTTCGTCTATTTCGTTTTCGTTTAATGCCACATAATTACCCTGGAAAAGAGCAAATTTGGTCAGATTTTATAAAGATGCTGACTGTGATTTTACTCGTCAAGGGGAGAGAGTGCTTGCCACTCAATGGGTTAAGAGCTGTTTAATAAACGAGCAGGAGTGTTTTATTAGGTTTAAAGACACGAGCGAGTGGCTTTAGACCTAATAAAACACGACCTGCGAGTTTATTAAACGGCTTCAAACACGACTATACAAATTCAATAGATATACTGCCTTATTAGTATTCTTTATATAAAAAATACTAATGAGGACACACAACAATAGATACTGCCTTATTAGTATTCTTTATATAAAGAATACTAATTAGGAGTGTTTTATCAGGTTTAAAGCCACTGCACATGACATTATAGTTGACATGATTTGCCAATAAGCTTATGAATTATTAATGAGTGTTTGAATTAAACTTAGTACTGTAAAGAATGGGATATCTGAACTGCAAGCCGGCATAAAGGAGGGGAGTAATAGCACAGTGAAATTCAAAAGTTGATAGTATAAACAACATATTAAGTACTGTATTTTAACTAGGGATAAGCCGATAAGGAAAATTGCCGATTACTGAGGCCAATTATTTATAAGCCGATTATTGTAACTAATCGGCCGATTAATCGGTACCCACCGATTATTTTAAAAAGCAAGCGAAAAATCACAAGATGACCAACAATGAAGTTGTAACTGCGCTTTTATTGTTTACAATACACACTTTGTACAATTAAAAACAGCTTCAGTCTCTCATGTCAATAGTCAAAGTTTAGTTTTGGCAGATTATGGTGTAAAAACAAGGCACTGTCAGCTATGGGGAGCTAGTCTGCTGCGTTTTTTTAGTGGAAATGTTCCCAGCTTCACTTCGCTTGAGACAAAAGACACAGGTTTGGCAACAAAATGTGAAAATCTATTCGCTTGTATTCAGTATTTTAGCATGTGATTGGCAGCTGCAGAAAAAGTCTTATGGCCGATTATTTGCCGATTATCAGGCAATAATCAGCCGATTACCGATTATTTAAAAAACGGCCAATTAATCGGCTTTGCCGATTATTTACCGATTAATCGGCTCATCCCTAATTTTAACATGAAAATGTAACGAAAAAATTAAGAAAGGTCGGAAAAGTAACAAGTTATAGTTTCATTTTAAGCAAAAATGTAATTAGTTTAAAATTAAGTAACAATTACTTAAAGTAGTACTGCAACCGATGCAAAACTCTTCTGACTTACCGTTCTTGCCAGACCAACGCTCCAGCAACCCGCTGATATTCCTTCTCGAATACCATCCTTCGTATCGTCAACCTTCACTATAGCTGATATCGGATTAACATCCAATTGGATTGCATTCATCCATACCATATATGGGTATGGCCGAGCCTGCGGTACTTGATCAGCGGCTACATAGCAGTCGGGGATGTACCCATTTTCGGCTGAAATCTTTTTCAATATGTCCAACATCGGCGTCGTAAACCCAGTGGTCGAACCGATCTTCAGACCCCATTCTTTTTGGAGTAGGTTGACAGTTTCAACGGCACCGGTTATCATTTCACTGTACTCTTCTAAACACGCTAGTTGAATCGGAACTGAGTTCTCGTATATTCGTTCGACATCCTCTTCGTTAGGGCTTCGTCCGAATTTTTCCTTCCATCGTTTTCGTACCGAATCCATCTGAGTGACGGTTCGTATGTGGACCTTTTTGTGCATTCCCATTGGTTCCCGGGCTTCTTCATTAGTGATCGGCACGCCTTCAAGTTCGAAGACTTTTCTAAAGACAATTGCAGGAGAGAGTACGCCACAGTCCACGACCGTACCGGCCCAATCTAGGACGACTGCTTTTATCTTTCCTTGGTAAATGCGGACGTTTCGGTATTCCGTTCTGGGATTTGTTAGCAATGCACCTGGTAGAATTCGAGAGGAATAAAATTAGTTTAGTTCAGGTTTCTTTGACGGGATATGTGGATGAAAATTGCAATTGGAATTTTTACACATTTATTCTAAAGACCTAACCAGGAAAAGTCGCAAAAAATGGACCTATCATCCCTCTGGCAGGAATCGACCCTGCGATTCTGGTGCAGTGCTGTAACCAACTGAGCTACAGAGAGACAGTTGTCGAGCTCTAACCAACTGAGCTACAGAGAGACAGTTGTCGAGATCTAACCAACTGAGCTACAGAGAGACAGTTGTTGAGCTCTAACCAACTGAGCTACAGAGAGACAGTTGTAGAGCTCTAACCAACTGAGCTACAGAGAGACGGTTGTCGAGCTCTAACCAACTGAGCTAACAGAGAGACAGTTGTCGAGCTCTAACCAACTGAGATACAGAGAGACCGTTGTTGAGCTCTACCCAACTGAGAGACAGTTGCCCAGCTCTAACCAACTGAGCTACAGAGAGACAGTTGTCGAGATCTAACCAACTGAGCTACAGAGAGACAGTTGTCGAGCTCTAACTACAAGGGAGAACAGTTTAGAACTGATAAAGCTATCCAGCATAAGCAACTATTTTTTTGACTTTGACAGAATGCCATATACAGGGGTCTCAAAACAACCCAAACTATTGGAAATTTTAAACAGTTTTTCCACGTAGCTCAGTTGGCAGAGCATTGGGCTAGTATTCCAAAGGTCATGGGTTCGATTGCCACCGTGGCCAGGCATATTGAAACAAGCCTGCCTGGTGTGGATACACACTCAGAGTAACATCACAAGCATCTTATTCACCTGAGTACACTACACCAACACAACAAATAGTTTCTTTATGGATAAAATTTACTTATGACAAGCTTTTATGCACTTGTGGGTTTAGCAGAGTGCTAGGCATTCCTAACAATACGTTATTTCAATAGTTTGGGTTTTTGCCCCCCCCCCCCCCGTTTGCCAACAATGTAAATATTAATTACAAATTCATTAAAAAATCGTATGACTTGCATGTGACTATTACTGTAAGGTACAAAAATAGGATTGACCTTTGGGGGGTATATTCATCACAGTTTACAGATAAAGCCTACATTAAAACTAAATTCTATCTACTAGCTGTGTAATTATAAATCTTTTGCCTTTTAATTAAGTTGAAATATAGTATTAAATTGAGCTATTAAAATTGAGCGAACTTTATATATTAAAATTCGCAGGGGAAAACCATTTTGGTCCTTTGGGATTTGAAATTAGTAATTCAATATGTTAGCCATATTGTGCTTTTACTAGACGAAACACTGTGTGTTAAACGGCTAAGTTTAGCTCAGAAATATTTGGAAAAGATGAAATAATCGTTCCTTAAGAGCAGATGCGAAGAACAAGGCCATATTTTAATAAATTTTGTACGTTTTGAACTCATAAACTTTCGTTCAAAATCAGGGTCAAAATGTCACATGCGTTTGAGTCGGTTTGACAATGAAATTTGATATACAAGTATTCGAGGGCATTTTACTCGACAATGATCTAATATAAACGAGGGAAAACACGGAGAACGAACACACAAATTTATGGCAAGTAAATGTATTTGTGTATTTAAGTATTCGATTGAAATTGGCAATACCAGTAAAACTTTTGTAAACCCGAAGCGGGAATCGGCGGAATCGGCTCGCATGTCTGCCAAAACATTGTCGTATAAAATGGCAAAAAAATATTTGCTACACGCTTTTATTTGAACCGCTTGGGATTTTGAAATAAAAGTCCAGCATTGTATAATTCTTCTATAAAAAATCCAAGCTTTTAGTTGAACAGAACAGGTGTATTTTTATAAACAAACTATCTCAATACATACAAAATCAAATCACAGTTAATAATAATTTAACAAGCGTTGATTTTTACTTCTCAAATTGGCAAACTCCGAGAAGTCTAGCAAATGCTACGCTTTTGTATACAGGCTTTCGTATATAGTTAGTTTAACGACGAATATCTGAGGCTATATTTGTGTGGACAGCTTTGAAAATATTAGTTTATCTATTAAATAAAATTCATATATTTACCTGGGATACTTTCAAAGGCTTTGGCAGTTTTATGTGCGGGCTTTACCCCGACGACAGCATTGCTCATGTATCTTTGAAGCAGTTGGTTTAGACAGGCCGCTTGTGAAAAGCTTTTAAGACCACTTGCCTTTCTTAAGACAGACAACATTTTCGCTTTGCAAGTAGGAAAAATGGGTGGGTTTTTTTATGAAAATATTTTTATATATGCGTGAATGCCTATTGTTAGAGCGGAAGTCAAGCACATTTTAGTACCGGAAGTAAAAGTCAACTGTGATTATTAAGGCTGAAATGCAAGCTTTTCGATTCTACCTTGTATATATTTTGTTTTCAAATGCTTTATATATTTTCAAGGCGTTCTGTTTGATCGTAACCAAAATAGGTAAAAAGCAAGAACTATAATATGTTTTCACGTGATCTGCAAGACATGTGACGTCCACAGACTGATTTCACGTGGAGTGTATAGTTCACGAGTTTGTCACATGCGGATCATGTTAATTACCCTTTCTCACGCCGCCATTTCAGCCTAAGTCGCGCGAGACAAGTCCACGTAACAGCGACTTTTTATAATTTTTTTGACGAATGATGGTAAATATGCTTTGTAAATGCCTAAATGGTTAGTTTATTTTGAAAAATTGCTTTTCACATTGTTTTAATTCATTGAATTGCCACCCAAAAATGGCGGATATTCGTCATCGTGAGAAAGGCTAATTGACGTCGGCCGCGTTGCAAATTTCTTGCGGGCTCCTGCCATCAAGTTTCTCTTTGATTTTCCTATTATACTCCTATTGTTACTGAACGTGAAATCTCAGTAACTTGCAGCATTACGGAAGCTTACAAAAATCTACATATAAGACATGGTGTTAGCTTGATTTTTCAAAGACTATAGCGAGTTTTTGGTCTATTTTCAAATTTTGGAACAGTAGTAACTCGAACAGCGCTTGAAAAATCAAGGTAACCGTTTAAATGTCTGATATGTAGTTTTGTGCAAGTTATTTTTTCTATAAATGAACCTGAAATTTCACGTTTTTAACAATATAGAATAGGAAAATCGAAGAAAAACGAATTAACAGGAACCCACAAGAAATTTGAACGCAGACCACATACACAAATCTATTTACTAGTTACTAGCCTTAAAGTCACAAGATGAAGGCAAAATAGAATTGCCCCTTGGTCGGGTGAGTGGTTTTGCCCATGCGGTAAAAAAAAATGCGCACGCGGCGTACGAACACGCTAAACAATGTCTTGTAGTCCAGCTTTCAGTAAATAACAATGAAGACAATATATCTTAGCTTTATACAAAGATGTTTACATAATGTTTCAACGTTTATGAACGTCATTGCGTCTTAATTAATGGCGGACAATACAATAAAATCTCAATATTAAAATGATACACTGTGTTTAGAATATATCTATAAAGGGTCCATAAACACTTTCTGAAAAACAGTCGTCAAAAAAATATGAATTGCGCGAACGCGCACTATGCCATTAAAATATACATAATCTTGAATTGAAAACCCCGCGGCTTTTTACCGCAAGCATTTTCAAAATAACATTGTCCTCTTTGAGTGTTAGTTCAGTTGGGACCGCTAACAAGATAGAGCCCTGGGCAAACTAGGAAACATTGTTACGGAAACATTTGTGATTCTCGATGTTTCCTCAAATGTTTCCATGTTTTCCCACCCGTGGAAACGTTGTTGCGGAAACAAAATTTGCTTCCCGGGAAGCAAAAATGTTTCCTAGCAAATTCAGAAACATTTGATGTTTCCCTATGTTTCTCACTAATGTTTCCTAGACCCTAGTGTTTGCCCACTCTTGGAAACATGGCGAAACATTGGTAGGAAACGGTGTTTCCGCAACAATGTTTCCTAGTTTGCCCTGGGCTTACTTCACGCTACATCGGAACGAAATAATGGAGGCAGAATTTACGTGTGTTCACATAACACCGTTACACTTAGCTTGTTTACGAATTGAATTAGCACTCATGTAAACCCAAAATATTTCAAATAGAGCAAAGAAATTTCAACGGAAAGCATTCGAATTTACCGTTTCGAGACCCGAGATGCTTGGTTTGCAAAAGCGGTACAAAAAAGTAACGGCGTTTGTGTTGACACGAAGCCGCCAAGCGTTCCATTTTCATCTCGATCCGTTTAGAATCCGTGCTCAAATTGTTCTCGGCAAAAGTGACGTTTTCAAACAATTTCGCCCCGCCGTAGTTGCTCATCTTTTTGGATTTTTCCGCTTTGGTATACTGACACTTGAGTTGTCCGCTGTTCCGCCTATCGAGCCCCACATCCTGGCTTGCGAAACAACACCAGACACTCAGACGTACTAGCAAGACAATTTCCATTAGACGACGGTGTCGCTATCTGAAAACGAGACTGTGTTCCTACTATTCACCGATGGTTGTACCGCGAGCCTGTTTGGAAAGCCTTTCGTTCCTTTGGCCCCAGTCTCTTCTGACGTCACCACTCCTTCGTTTGTGGTGCCATCTACGAAAACCTATTAACACAAAATAGACAAAACAGTGGGTGACTAAATTTTGATCAAGGCAAGAAGAACCGATATCCAACACCACAGCTAGAAAGAGCGTCTCAGAATGAGTGAAACTGCAAAGATTGGTTGCTAAATGTTGTAAAATGAAGAAAATATAGCCCAGAGAACTTCGCAATGAATTTTGTATATATTTGTATTACGCGCGGTAAAAATAACCACATTCTGCTCAAAAACTGTACTTATTTTTCCCGCGCGTAATGCAAATATATCTGAAAATTTGCGAACCTCACAGGGTTATATTTTCCTCATTTTACAACAATTCGCAACCAAACTTTGCAATGTTACTCATTTTACGATGCTCTTTCCAGTTTAATTGATAATTCTTGTCTAGATCAAAATTTCGTCTATAGCCGTGGAATCATCCATTGAACAATCTTTGTGACCTCATTTCAAATTCTCTCGCAAATTTTCTCAATGTCGACACTTTTGGCGTTCCTCTCAAAATTATTTTGTTTCAGCTTTATTTTGTAGTTCACACAGTTAGCAACCGTTTTAAATGTATCTGGCGGTTGAGAAACACAAAATAATAGTTAAATATTGTCAATTGAAATACAATTATCATTGATGCTGTAAAATTGACGCCATATTTCTACAGCAATATAAGCAAAACTTACTGAACTTCAGACATCATTTTCTCTTTGGCGTACCATCTAAAATCTCTTCATTTTAGCATAATTTTACAGATAAAGCACTAAACATACTTTTTAAGTTTGTTTGCCGCTTCAGAAACGTATCAAAAATTTAAAATTTTGAATATAGTCATAACCGTATAGAAAAATATATTCATTAGTCTTGAGCGCGTGTTACGTAACATACAAAAGATTCACTGCATAATAATTTACCTCATCGTTCGCTTCGTCGGATTCTTTCGGAACTATTTCGGAGCATTCGGGCTTCGACGGCATAACGGAACCACACGAAGGTCGATGAACTGAACTGTAAGAATTTCTATAACCCGCAATCGGGTGGTTTAAGGAGCTTGACCGTTGGCTGTTCGTCGAGACGCGCCTGGAACCTAGGTACCAGGCTTCATAGCTAGTGCATTGATATTCTTTCCGAAGACACCACGAGATGAAGCGACGGAATACGACACGATACGACGGATTGAACATCGTGTAGAGGATGGGATTCAAGGCGGAGTTTAGATAGTGTAGCCATTTTGTGATCGCAGGGATTGCGGGTCTGGCTATGAGCCATGGAAAACAGCCCTGGTGAAGACATTAATATTCTTTTAATTAAAGAAAAATTAAATTATACTAAACTAACGTAATTTATACAGCGTAGGTTTATTAGCTTGCACGTGCCGGGTTGAATCATGTCACGATATTTTTTATTTATATTTTTGCATTATATGCGTACACCTAATATACAATACTTTCTGGCATGGTCTATTTCCCAGTCCCCGTTGAAGATATAAGAAATCCATTAAATAAATAATGCTTATAAGTAAGCCACAACCCATTACCTAGCCCAAAATTGAAATAAATCGGGAATAAATCACGTAAAATTAAACAAAAGTTAGAAAGTAACGAAATACTTCGCCACAATATGAAAATAACGAAGTAAAACGTTACTTCTTAAAACGACCTCGTTAAAAAGTTACTCGAGAAAAAGTCTACTTTGTTACATGCTGTGATGCTGACGTCTCAAAAATAGTACTCAAGCAAAGTAACAAAGTACACTTTGAAACCACTGTGACTGTATCTCTCATTTTTACTGTCAAAATACTCTCATTTTTACCCTCATTTTTACTGTCCTGGGGCTGGTTGTATAAAAAAGTGATTAAAGTTAACTATAGTTAAGTGGAAACGTCATCCAATAAGAAGCGCCTATTTGAGAATTAATCACTATTTAACTACAAAATAGTGATTAAAAAAGTGATTAAGAGTTTTATACAACCGGACTGCAGTGTTTGTATACATTCACTTGACGCGATGCTTTATATGGTTATTTCAAATTCGTTGCGAAGTATCAGGTCATATCTCAAGATTTACTGGGGGCGAATAAAAATGCGCAATAAAAACATTGCAATTGGGGAAGGGGGCTGAAGCCAGCTAACCCCCTCCCCACCCAGCACGCTGTATAAAGTAGACTCACCACACAGTATGTGTACAAGAACGAGAAAACAAAGAATGGTGTCCAACATATGACGAATGCTACCATGACAACGCCCAGGCTCTTCGCGGTCTTGTACTCATTAACTATGCAACCAAAATACTGTTTATTTGCGTCAGGATTGCGCGACCAGCGCTTGCGACACGACCTAAGAAAAACAAGCAAGGTCAGCGAGTGCGCATTATTTATGGCGGGGCGTGGCACCGAAGAGAAATGTTTTTCTTGGCAAAAATTTTGCCGATCCAACCATTAGAAAGTTTACAAATTTTTCACCCAACCTTAAATACCAATTAAAAAATAAATGCGCACCCCTGGCCAAAAAGCTTTACACAAGGATACCATTCAGTTGTCACACATGTCCTTTACCACTTCTGTGACACGAATTTGATAACCGCTTGTGCAATTTTCTGCAGTCTAAAGTTTCATGTTGTCTGCACATGTACTTTCTTTGGAGACACCATTTGCCTCCTGACAAATTGGAAAATGATCAAGATAGTGACTCTGATTGATTTACATATTGTATTGACATATGACTGTTGACATTGCTTTTTAGTCTTCAATATTTGAGTGAGTCATGCTTTGGAAATGACAATAAATTTTTATTACCCAACCCTTGAGTTGTTTTGTTTTTCATTTACCCAACCTTTTACTCACTCAAAATTTTGTTTACCCAACCCTTTTCTCTTCGGTGCCCCGCCATAAATATTGACCGTCCCCTAAAATTAAAACCCATGATACTGTGCCCACCTTACAACGATGATAATTTTCCAGTAACACACAATCATGACGCACAATGGTATAAAAAATCCAAAAGTAAAGATGACGGTCGTCCTCCATTTCGTATCGAGCAAATACATGGATGCGATCGCAATAGCGTAACCCCATACAGCAAATATTATCTTGTGTGCGATGGAGGGAGTCACGGTTGTGTGATGTTTAAAGGGGTTGCTCACGGAATACAGTCTGTCCACGCTGACCACTGCTAAATTGGCGATAGACGAAACCTCGCACGCTGTAAATATTTAAAGCAGAAATTAATATTCACAGAATTATACGCGAAGGTTGTTGTGAAGCCGATATCAGGATGTGTTCGCACCTGCTTGTTCCCAGTTGTTGTGACAAGTCTGGAACAAGTTGTTATCACCTTGTTACAAGGTTGATGACGGTAACAGACTTGCTACAAGTTGTTCAACAAGTGGATGGCTCTAGCAGTTCTAAACTGTTCTTCCTACACACGTAAAAACGCACAATTTGTTCCAGGTCTGCAAACAAGTTGTTACAAATCTGTTCACAAGCTGTCGACAAGTTGTGTTCGCACTGCTTGTTCTCAGTTGTTGTAACAAGTTTGGAACAAGCTGTTAACAACTTGTAACAAGCTTGCTGGCATTATCAGACTTGTTACAAGGTTGTTCTAACAAGTCTGATACAGTCATGATATAACAAGAATGTTACAAGGTTGTTCTAACAAGTCTGATAAAGTCATGATATAACAAGAATGTTACAAGGTTGTTCTAACAAGTCTGATACAGTCATGATATAACAAGAATGTTACAAGGTTGTTCTAACAAGTCTGATACAGTCATGATATAGCAAGAATGTTACAAGGTTGTTCTAACAAGTCTGATACAGTCGTGATATAACAAGAATGTTACAAGGTTGTTCTAACAAGTCTGATACAGTCATGACATAACAAGAATGTTACAAGGTTGTTCTAACAAGTCTGATACAGTCATGATATAACAAGAATGTTACAAGGTTGTTCTAACAAGTCTGATACAGTCATGATATAACAAGAATGTTACAAAGTTGTTCTAACAAGTCTGATACAGTCATGATATAACAAGAATGTTACAAGGTTGTTCTAACAAGTCTGATACAGTCATGATATAACAAGAATGTTACAAGGTTGTTCTAACAAGTCTGATACAGTCATGATATAACAAGAATGCTACAAGGTTGTTCTAACAAGTCTGATACAGTCATGATATAACAAGAATGCTACAAGGTTGTTCTAACAAGTCTGATACAGTCATGATATAACAAGAATGTTACAAGGTTGTTCTAACAAGTCTGATACAGTCATGATATAACAAGAATGTTACAAGGTTGTTCTAACAAGTCTGATACAATCATGATATAACAAGAATGTTACAAGATTGTTCTAACAAGTCTGATACAATCATGATATAACAAGAATGTTACAGGATTGTTCTAACAAGTCTGATACAATCATGATATAACAAGAATGTTACAAGGTTGTTGTAACAAGTCTGATACAATCATGATATAACAAGAATGTTACAAGGTTGTTCTAACAAGTCTGATACAGTCATGATATAACAAGAATGTTACAAGGTTGTTCTAACAAGTCGGAT